ATGTTTTAGTTCTATTGTTGTCTAAATCTGACAACTATAGGCTGGTTTTTCTCAATGAAATTGTAAAAACAAAGCTAAAACTCGAAAGGAGTGATGCGAAAAGTGTGCATTTATCTAAATCCTGTTGTACTGTGATCTCCAAGAAGAACTAACTTCCTTAGGAAATGAAAGGGGAGTAAATTTGACAAATTGAAGGCTGCGTACTGGCTTAGTTCACTCCAAGTATGTGATTTCTTGTCTTCAACAAAACTTGCAGGCATGCCAGGACATTTTCATATACTTTCAGAGACAATGTTAAAACAATATGTCATCTTTTTACTAGCTTTTTTCTCATCCTGTCTTGACACATCAGAGCATTCTTCTATTTTAACACTAAAAACTATTTAAAAAAAACAGTATTCAGTCTAACTTTGCTAGCGCAAACTCCATTCCTCCTGAACTGGACTTAGCTCACTCAGAGATTAAATATCCATCTGCATGGTGTTCTGCAACTTTGTCTGACCTGTTTTTGTTCGTTATATTCTGCAGCAAAGTTTGGCGAAGCTAGCCACGGACAAAAGCCGCAACAAAAAGAACAAAGAGCCCAAGCCACGGGTGAAAAAACTCAAATATCATCAGTACATCCCCCCTGACCAGAAGCAGGAAGTCAGTGGCATGCCAATGGACTCCTCTTACGCCCGTCTCCTGCAGCAGCAGCAGCAGTTCCTCCAGCTCCAGATCCTAACCCAGCAGCAGCAGAAGTACAACTGCCAGGCTGTTGTACCTGTCACACTAAAGTATGGCGCCATTCAGCAGTACATTCTTTACAAAGTCATCTGTCACACTTGACCACGGCCGATCTTTGTCTCATCACATTCTGCATGCAGTTTTCCACAGAGAGACATCTGAAAAATGGTTTCTCTCTTTCTTTCCCACTCCCTTTGTTTCCCATTTTGGTGCAGCATATCCACGGCTGAGATGCAGAACAGCTGCTCGGCTCTTGTGCTCAGAGGAAGCTCGCCATCGACTCCTGTGCAGTTTCACCATACCAGCACGAAATCGGATCAGTTACCAGCTAATATCGATGACATGAAGGTGACGCCGCCTGGCTCTGTCAGTCCCATACACGCCACAGAAAGCATTCAGCATCTTGAAGATGAACCGTATTCTCAATTTACAGGTTGCGGAGCTGAAAATGGAGCTGAAACTCAGATCACTGCCTGTTTCCGGAACTAAGACAGATCTAATAGAGAGACTGAAGCTGCATCTCGAGAGCACTAAGACCCAGCGTATTGCTGCCATGGAGTCAGGAACCTCTGCAGCAAACTCACAGGCTGAAAACATTCACTTGACACCGCCTGTTTCCCTCATAGCTTCCAAAGTTTCCAAATTGGGAATTGAAGATAGTAATATGAAAGACATTCATGCAAAGTCAGTTCCAGAGAGTTTGTCTAATGCTGCCCTTTGCACAAGCCCCTTAAAAGGACCTCCATATGAAGAGGGCCCCACAAATGCAACGTTCACTGAGAAGGACTCTGAAAAAGACAAACGGCTGCATGAGAAGGAGCGTCAGATAGAGGAGCTAATGAGGAAGCTAGAGCAGGAGCAGAAACTAGTTGAGGAGCTAAAGATGCAACTGGAGGTGGAGAAAAGAAGCCAGCAGAGTGACTCTCCATCTCATCCTAACTCTCTGCCAATCCAGATAAAAGAGGAAAACATGAATCTGTCAAACTGCTCGGTGTCCTATAGCTCACCTGGTCTGCATGTGCAGATCAAACAGGAGGAATCTTCAGATCACAGCCACGTAACCAGCCCGAATCAGTTTGCCATCGGTCAGCGGACCAACACAAACGGTGAAAACCCGCAGCCTGCCCAGGTCCTCCTGCCCACATCCTCTCCTGGCTCAGCAGTCACCGTCGAGCCCCCTGCCAAAGGCGTTAAATTACACTCTACTGTTAAGAGCATAGCTCCAGGCCGCATCCCGGCCTCTGGACATGAGCCACAGAAACCAGCAGAACTACAACAAAGCCTCACTCAAACCCCGCATCTGGCCAAGGTAAGAGTATGTACACTCTGCTGGGTCCAGTCTGTCTTGTTCTTTCTTCCTTGGTCTTCTTAGTCTTTGTCATCACACATTGCAGTGCTTTGTGGTTCTGAAACATGTTCCAGCTAGTGCCAACAATTCACACGTTAGGCTGCATAAACATAGAGGCATGTTTTTTGTTGTGCTGCCAGTTAAACCACAGGTCAAGTTACCAGTCATTTTGTGCTGCAATGGAAAATGCAGCCTCCTTGTGCTTACAGCTGTAATCATCTACAAAAATGAAATGAGTTGGAAAATATGAAACCAGTGTGTCGGTGTAGATTGAACTCAGCAGTTTCACAAGTAAAGTGAAAAACTTTTTTAGGTGAAAAAAGTTCTAGAAAGATCACCTAAGCTAAAGGTTACTGTTTGTTTTTGCCAGATAATAGTAACCTGTTCACAATTCACTTCTCAGACACTATTCATATCTGTACATTAATGCTGGGCTGTCTAATGTTTTCTGCAGACGTGGGGAATGGATGTCGAGAGGCAAAATGTACTTGGTGCATTCCTGGTGTCTGGATGCGATAGTCCTACCTCTCAGCAAGCTCCCCCTGAAACACTCCTTGGAAAGGTGAAATATATTCCCTGGGTTTTTGTGGTGTTTCTTAGTGGAAGTTATTGTTTTACAGATGTTCATGGATTTATTTGTATAACTTTACTAGCCCTTAAAGTGGGGTTTTGATATTCAACATGGAGCTAACTGCTGTGGGCAGGGATATCTGATTAGCAGATTTTAATTCTGCAAACCTATTCTGTAATGTTGTTGTCTTTAGGAGATTTAGAATAAAAAATTAAATAGTTACTGGTGAAATATTTTGCTTAAAAGTTCAGATTTAGATCAATTTAACCCAAATGATTGTATGTAATTGTGCTTTTTCTTCAATGGTGCAGAAGGAAAGACTGCAGGTTTCTTTTTGCACCACAGTCCTGTTCAGTAGATGTTTTGTGGCTTTTTTTTATCTACTGTTCCTGTTAAATAGCTGCTTTCTTATCTGCTTACCTATCTGCTGTTATTTTGCAGCAAACAACCTTCACAAACCAGGCGTCAAAGACTAAAGACCCACCTCGCTATGAGGATGCAGTAAAACAAACACGCAGCATGTTAACAGCTGCTCAGGTGCAAATCAAATGCAAGTTCATTGCTTAAAACTGTTATTAAAAATCATCCCTATATTAAATAACTCTATTTCTTTAAAGGGTCCCACTGCAGCGAGCCAGGAGATGGATGACCTGTTTGATGTGTTGATTGAAAGTGGAGGTAAGAGATGCTTTAGCCACATTTTGGACTAGTTTAACTTGGAAGATAAGTGAGGATTTCCTCTCACCGTGTCGTTCTCTTGTTTTTTCAGAGATCTCCCCTCTCATCAGACAGGATCCTCCCAGCCTGGAAAAGCCTCTCCCTGTGACAGCTAGCGTAACCACCCTTCCCATCAACACGGTTCTGACCCGTCCTCCACCTTTGGTGCAGGTGGCACAGCTGCCTGGAGTGCTGCTCAGCTCGACAGGAAAAAACCTGGAAACCCTTCTGGGGGACACAGAGGCTCAAAGACTGAAGCTGATGGAAGAGTTGAGCTCACCTTTGGTTGAGATGGAGATGAACTTCAGTGAAAACCTGCCACCTTCTGGTGTGAACCTGCAAAGCACTTCTGTGGACAGCATGGATTGGCTCGATCTCACCCTTTCTGTGCCTTCGGAGGGGATTAACCCTTTGAACATGTCAGTGCCTGACTTCCTGGACTCTCATGAACTGAGCTTGAACTGGGATTGAGTGATTTTAAAGGCAGTATGTGGACTTCATCCTTCTCTTTTTTTTTGAAATACTAAAGTTACTGAACTTTAAAAGCTATAACTTTTTGCGGGGGAAAAAAAAAAGAAAATGGTACTGACACTTAAAAGAGTTCCATCTCAAGTCATGCGGCTGATTTTGCTATATTTTTCACAACTTCTCTTTGTACTGAAGCCTCAGTAAAGAATGTTGCAGTAAGAATTGTCTCAGCGCACATAGGAGTAAAGAAAAATACACAAATCCTGGTTACAGATGGACAAGCACTGCTTCTAGCTGCTGTGTTGTTTACTCCACCCTGTCTTGGAATGATTATCACTATCAAAACAGATTGTAAACACATAAGCCACATGATCATGGTTTCTATGCAAGTCGAGAGGCATAAATCTGATATTTAACCAAAGTAGTGAAAGTTTGATTGGCTTGCAGAGAGCCAGAAACTCAAGTGTTTATTACAAAATACTCTGCAAGTATCTCTTCACCGATCCTGTAAGGCAGCACACATTAATACACTCTGCAATTCAAAGAAGCAGGCTACTAAGTGCCTAATCTGCCACCTTATGTTAAATGCTGTTGGGCAGCATTTAACATAATTTGCTGGTTTAAAATTGGTCAGACTGCTTTTTTTATCAGCTAGCTAGCTTTATTTTATTTAGTTTCATTATTAAACATTCAGTGGTATGTCATTGTCAGAATAATGACGTCGGCTTCTTCTATTAAAGTAGGAGTGGATTCCAGTAACATCTGCTGGCAATAGTGTGTGCTATTAGAGGCAGCATTTGGCATGTGTGGATGTGTTGGATGAGGAAATGTTAGACTTTTGTTTCTGTGGTATTTTAATTTGCTATGTATCGACTCTCAGACTTCTCTGGAATATATCTTGAATGCCTCTGACAAAGAGCCCTTTGATGCGAAAGAAAATCTCACATTTCTTTGTTTTAAGTCGGCTACTTAGTGCCAAATCTGCCACCTTCGAAAGAGGGGGTTACATGCTGGAAGGAGGAATAAGATTTCACAAGACCGATGTAACTCATTACCAAAAACATTACAATTATTTTGTTTATGTTGTATGATGTAGTTATGTTGTTTTACAGTTTCCTTTCATTGGTAAATACAACATTGTCTTGGGATTTTCAGCCTTTGAGCAAAAAAAAAAAAACAAAACTCTAAGGTTTCAGTAATTAGTCTGCTTAAGGAAAATAAGTTCTTATGTTTCTTTATTGAGCAGCTCACTACAAGCATATCCACTGCCAGACATGTTTAATGTCGCACCTGACAAAGATATATGCCAGGTGCAAAATTAAATATTTTCATTTCTTTATAAATGAGAATTTATAGTTTGTAATTCTAGAAAAAAAAAACACAGCCTTTGAGTACATTTGTTCAGCGAATGAAACGTTCCCATATCCACATTGTTTTGTACTGCTGTGAGGACTTTGTACAACCCACCATTACATATTCTCCTACAGCATTTCACAAGGTTAGAGAATACAGAAAAAGAAGAGATTCCAGATCATTTTCTGTTGCAAAGTCTCTCGTCATTCAGAGTCCTGGGTTCTTTCATCTTTTGGCCCATTTTCAGTTTCCTGCCAGAGTCCACCAGATTCCTATTTAAAATATTTTGATCTTTCAAAGACAAGATTCAATCATTTTGATGAAGTGATTAAAGGCCCACAGCATCACAATCCTCTTAAAGAACCACTTCTAGATCAGTAGAAGTTTTCAGGTAGTTTAAAATTGAAATATTAGATTTCATATATTTTATAGATCTATTATTATACATATTTACATGCAAGGTACAGCTACACCTATTGAGATGTGCGTCATTAAAGCCATTCAGCCAAGATTTAAGTTTTAAGTTCACAACCATAAATCCTTAGACTTAAACATAAATTACTTAGAGGATGATATTGCTAAACAAACTCTTCAGCAGATCCTCTCAGCAGTTACTAAATCACCAGCAGCTGCTGGTACAGCGTTTTTCTTCTCAGCATGTGCTTGCTTCTCCTCTCAGAGCTTTTTGATGGTTGTGATTTTCGACCGACACTTTGGACATCTGTGCGTGGTGGTCTTGAACTTCTCCATGCAGAAAGGAAGGAGGCAGCAACCGGCCACGCAGCTGCAAAATGGGAGAGCAGAAACAAAACCAGCCGTTGACAACGAATCTGCAAGCGGCTGAGCAAACAGAAACAGGTACAACAAGGTGTAACTGTGTCTTTAGGCAAATATTTTACTGCCAAACAAAAATGGGAGGGAAAGTTCATACCCCATCATAAATGACATAAAGCAAACAAGCCAGGTCACGCTACTGACGGAAGTGAAAGTCTCCGTTGTGACAAACTGCATGCACTCTGGGCACTGTGTCCTACTTGGATGTGTAGGAAGCTTTCCAATATCCAGAATCACAGCTGGGGCTGAAAGAACAATGTGTACACAATCAAATCTCTTTCCTTTACTCTTAACAACAGTCTGTCATTTAAAAAAAACATTTGCACATAGATCATATGAGATGTGAAAGCGGCACTTATTCCATTGCCAGACACATTTAATGTGCACAAATTTTGTGCACAATGCCTCGTTTTGCAGCCTCTTATAATACAGGTTTGTGTGGTTTGGTGGCTCACGGGGAAAAGAAGGAGGCGGTTCAACGAAGAAGATTCTATCTTCAGAAGCACTGGTGTCAAGCTCCTGGTTGGACTCATGCTTGATATCTGAAAAAGAGAACTTCAGTGACAAGCCTATAGCATGAAGAAGTCACTGTCGGTCAAAAGAAAAAGTAATTTGTGCTCACCGTTTTTGATTCTCTCATCTTTTGCCTCAAAGATATTGTCACAGTTCTTTTGCAGTTCAGCCTTCTTTATCCTGAGTTCTTTCAATGCATTGTCAATAGAATTGATCTCTTGTTGGGTAGCAGCTGACTCTTCTGATAGGAGAAAAAAAACAGATACATATACACAGATTGCGTAATATCAATGATGTTTTATGATTTATTAATGTTACCTGTTTCTCCAAATTCAGCCCGATTCCTTAGCTCCTGGAATACCATTAAGATTTTCTTTCTGTCTGTAAGCTGTTCCTCCTTCAGCGAAATGTCTTTCAGTCTTTCTGCTATTGTCTTGACCTCATTTTGTGAAGAGGTCATGGCGGCAGCTGGAAAGTTTGCAGATAAGCTGAGCAATGCCAAAGATTTACACAATGATTTTACTATGATTTTGGCTTTCTTTGTTTTGCTTATAAAATATGAGTAATTCTATCCAAATGAAATAAAGCTATCTAACCAACCTGTCCCTACACGAACACGTAATAGCTTCCTAACACCAATAACTAGGAGGGCTGGATAATGTGGTTTACAGAAGAATCTTATATTATTTTTTTTCAAAGCACTCTAATTTTCAATTTTAGTTTTTTTTTTTTTTTTCTCGCCTTATATTCTCAAAATGAAATCATAATAATGAATTAAAATTCCACAACATTCTCAACTACAGAAACCCAAAGAGTGCATATGTGAAAAAAAATGTAATAAAAATCCGACATTTTCCCCCCAAAAAATTAATTTTTACAAACAGAAAATTTGATTAATCAATAAAATCTGTATTATCCATTAGCACTATCTGATAATGCCACATTCAGCAGCAACAACTGCAACCAAACATTTGCAATTAGTCTGTTTTGCAACACTGTGGAGGACTTTTGTCCCACCCTTATTTGTAGATGTGTTTTAATTGAGTCAAATCTTCAGATGAAATAAGCAACAGAACCTTAATCAGATGTGGTTGCAGGCTTTTATCGGGCCACTTAAAAATCTTTCTTACATTCTGCCATTTAGATGTAGACCTCCTGGTTTATTTGGTTATTGCATAGCATTCAAATTCAAGCATGGTGTGGTTTTGCAGTAATATTAATAGCTAAGCCACTCCTGGTAAGATTCATCACTTACATGTTTTTTTTTTCTATTTGTAGAAATAGTTTTGTAACGTTGACTAGTTCATAGACCAGTTTGGGACAGGATGCATTGATTTTGGATTTTTTTTATTTATTTCTTTTATCTTACCTCATTCACAAGCTTGGTGGTAATCAGGACTGGAAGAGGCTCATTACGAAACTCAGCTTTCCAAATAATTATGATTAATCACAGTTGAGTCACAATCTAAAGATGGATGGTTACATTTTCCTCATAGATCCTGGTTGGTTCAGATAACCTTGTTCCCCTTAATTAGTCAACCACCATTTTAAATATTTTTGTACTTATCCAGGTTAGCATGACAGTAAAATTGTATTGTCATAAACAGTCAATTATGACAGAAGAGCGACAACAAGAAATCTGCAAAGGTGCAAAACCATTGTAAAGTACTTTAGCTTTCTCATTAGGTCTCAACTTTCCAAAAATACAACTGATGTCATAAAATTTGTCAGATGAATAAATAACTCTGTTATGGTTTCTTTTTTCATCCCTCAAAGTTTAGACAGACTTGCTGTAATGCAGAGAATAAATTGTTTTTTTATTCCACCTGAATTTTGCTAGAACAGGTTTTCACATGAAAAATCTGTATGTCTGTCTCGTTGTCTCCAACTACGAACAAAGTTTTTCACCAAATCAGCAAAAACCACCAACAGCAATATCATATCAAAAAGATACTTAAATTAGCTGGGTACATAAAAATAGAAAGTATCCTCAAAACTTAAAACTTCTTTAATATCTGCTTACATTTTGTCACAGTACATAAAAAGCAAATTGTGACAAAACCCATTCCATCACCTTAAATGTCATATTAAAAATTAATAAAACGGTGACAAACTCTGACATTACCTTGCTTTTGCTGCCTCTGCTATGTCGTTCACAGGTAAAATCCATATAAGCTGAACAAGAGAATATTGTTCCCATCTTTCAGGAAATATTCAAATTATTTGGGCGGTGTTTATTACTCCCATTTTTGCAAACTGTTGCAGTCTGGCTGAGATAGACGCACAGGACATAGATATATAGACACAGGCCAAGTAAAAATACTGAAACATTTTGATATTCACAAAGCACTTCTACAAAAATCTTATTTATTGTAATTACATGGACATTACAACAGAGGCACTTTTTAAAACCAACAGATACAAGACAAAGAAACATTTATACAACAAGAAGATTGAAACAAGATTTTAATTACTTTAAAGAAGAAACTGGGACACTGCAGGAAATTGTGTTTATTCTCCAAACATGCTGCATCATTTCTTCCTGAGTCTCTTCATAAACGTCACTTCATCTCTGTTCCTGATTCCGTAACTAAAGATAGACATTTCCAAACCAGAAACAAAAAATATTCAGACAGTTTTGATGTTAAGATTTAGGTCCATTAAGCACTAAGGTGAAAGTATAAGCACTCACTCTTTGAGCCTCATTGTGTCATCTTCAAGTTTCTCGCCTTGAAATACAAGATGATAGGTTCTCCAAACATATCTCCTGAGAAATAAAAGAGGAACAGTTGTAGAGCTACAAACAGATCTTAATTTATTTTCTTGTGTTCGTGAATGCTCCTACCAGCTGACATGTTTCACGCCGCCTTCTCGCTGCTGTTTCAACTCCATAAATCTGCAAATGGCCTTCTTAAGATCGAGGACTGTAGCATTCTGGACAACCACAATGGCTGTTTTCAACCAGACAGACAAATTATTATCCCTTGTCTGCAGTAACAGCAAAAATCAGACGAAGTGAAGTGAAAAGCAAATCGCATATCACCAAAAATTAAACAAACACTGACGCATTATTTCACCATCTGCTTTTAAAACCTTCACAGTCATCGCCTGGCCATATTCCAAGGCAATCTGGGAATTCACCTCTTCCAGGGTCACCTAAAAAAAATAAAGACAGTTTCTTGGACAAATCTTGAAGTGTTAATGAAATGCAAAAGCCTTTTGAATCCTTTGATTTGAAAGCAATCTGACTCTCACATAATCATAATTTTAAGGAATGAATGTGATCTATGTCAGATGCCAATTTGAATAACACCAGAGTCCAAATGTGTTCTGACTAATTTAGTCTTGCAGTCAAAAATAACGTTCAAGAAGGTATGTATATATATATATATATATATATATATATATATATATATATATATATATATATATATATATATATGTCGAATATACATACATACATTCGACATATATATATACATACATATATATAGCTGACTGGATAGCTCAATACATAAGGCATCAGTATATCACCCGAGAGGGCAGGGTTCGAATCCAGTCCTTAGGCAAGACCCTTCAAGCTACTGCCTACCTCATACCATGAGAGATACTAAGTTGCATAACATGCCGGCTCAGACGTCGCCCGGCCAAACAAGGTCTGCGTCAGGTGTTGGGGAACCAGAGCACCTTGATGACAAATGGGCTACTGGAACAAGACGGAAATGGGCGAGAGATGAAAATGTGGATCTGTTGGAATGCTACTACTCAAGTAACCGTAGTGAGAGAGGTTACATGCAAAGACTGGGGAAGGAATGGTTACTTCGACATCCCCAGTCAACACTAAGCGCTAAACAACTAGTAGCTCAGTGTTCCAACATCCGCAAACGACAACTGCTATCACAACTTGAGATTGACGAGATACAACACAAATGCTACGGCAAAAGGGAGGAACCCGGATGTCAGGACTGTGGGGACTTAACTACAAGTCCCCACCCAGTGAGGGGATACACGGCCCCAATGAGCGAAACAGAGCTGAACGAGACAGCTGCTGACCTGAGAGAGAGAATCATGACATGTGAATGCAGCATTGAGAACGATCCCTACCAACACCATAACAGAAACCAATGAGCTGATCTACAACTCAGCATCAGTGATCCTTGAGATACTTGGCTATAAGAGCAACCATGAGACCCAATACCCACCATGGAAAACGGTTAGAGGCTAAAATCAAGGTAACAAGGAGGGAAGTGAGCCAACTGTCAGAGCTCCACAAGGGTGCAATGAAAAGACCAGTACCCAGAAAGGCTCCAAGCCTTGTCCAGCCGCCTAAAGAGATACACAAGGGAGAATGAATCCAGAAGGATTAACCGGCTCTTCTCCACTCAACCAGCTAAGGTGTACTCTCAATGGCAGGGTAACAATAACAACAGAGCAGACCCACCAAGGCTGGAGACGGAACAATACTGGAAAGGCATATGGGAAAGGGAGGCGTCCCACAACAGCAATGCACAGTGGCTGATCTCTCTACGAGAGGACCACAGCAACCTCCCTGAGCAAGCCCCGGTAACCATCACTGTGACAGATGTCCAAGAAAGAGTCTCAGGTATGAAAAACTGGACAGCACCAGGGCCTGACATGATCCATGCCTACTGGCTAAAGAAACTCACTGCTCTCCATGAGCAAATGGCAGCCCAAATGAACCAGCTGCTACAAAGTGGGACTCACCCTGAATGGTTAACTGAAGGGCGGACAATCCTAATCCAGAAGGATCCATCAAAGGGTCCAGTCCCACCCAACTACCGACCAATAACCTGCCTCTCCACAACCTGGAAGCTCATGTCAGGCATCATAGCGGCCAAGATAAGCAAACACATGGATAAACACATGAGCACGGCACAGAAGGGTATCGGTGTAAATAGCAGAGGAGCCAAACACCAACTCCTCGTAGACCGCACAGTTGCCCGAGACTGCAAAACCCGACACACCAACCTGTGCATGGCTTGGATCGATTACAAGAAAGCCTATGACTCAATGCCGCATACTTGGATCATTGAATGCTTAGAGATGTATAACATCAACAGGACTCTGAGAGCCTTCATTGCAAACTCGATGAGTTTGCAATGAAGGGTCATCGAGTTTGTCTCGATGACCCTTGAAGCCAACTTCAAACCACTTGCACAAGTGTCCATCAAATGTGGCATATACCAAGGAGATGCTCTGTCCCCGCTACTGTTCTGCATAGGCCTGAACCCCCTCAGCCAAGTTATCAACAAGACTGGCTACGGATACAGACTCAAAATGGGGCCAATATCAGTCACCTACTCTACATGGATGACATCAAGCTGTACGCCAAGTGTGAGCGAGACATCGACTCACTGATCCACACCACCAGGATCTACAGCACTGACATTGGGATGTCATTCGGACTAGAGAAATGTGGTCGGCTGATCACAAAGAGGGGGAAGGTCATCCACACAGAAGGGGTCTCACTCCCAGAAGGAACAATAGCAGACATAGAGGACAGTTACAAGTACCTAGGTATACCACAAGCAAATGGCAACCTCGATGAGGTCACAAGGAAAGGAGCCACAGCTAAATACCTCCAACGAATAAGGCAAGTCCTGAGAAGCCAGCTCAATGGCAAGAACAAAATCCGTGCGATAAACAGCTATGCCTTGCCAGTAATCAGATACCCTGCTGGAATAATTAGCTGGCCAAAGGAGGAGATAAAAGCCACAGATATTAAGACCAGAAAGCTACTACAATGCATGGAGGGTTCCATCCCAAATCCAGCACCCTGAGACTGTACACGAGCCGCAAGGAAGGAGGCAGAGGACTAGTGAGTGTGAGAACCACTGTCCAGGACGAAACAACTAAGTGAATAAGTGTGCTCAGTGAATGTCTCAGACAACAGGGAACGGAGGTTGAGGTGCCAGAGATACCATCATGGGAGGACAAGCCCCTACATGGGATGTACCACCAGCAAATAACCCAAGTGGCTGATATAAGTAAATCCTACCAATGGCTGGAAAAAGCTGGACTCAAGGACAGCACAGAGGCCCTCATCCTGGCAGCCCAGGAACAGGCCCTAAACACCAGAGCAATAGAGGCCCAGATCTACCACACCAGACAAGACTCAAGGTGTAGGTTGTGCAAGGAGGCCCCTGAGACAGTCCAGCACATCACAGCAGGGTGCAAGATACTGGCAGGGAAAGCGTACATGGAGCGACATAACCAAGTGCAGGCATAGTGTACAGAAACATCTGTGCAGAATATGGACTGGAAACCCCAAGATCAAAGTGGGAAACACCCCCAAAGGTGGTGGAGAACGCCAGAGCTAAGATCCTGTGGGACTTCCAGATCCAGACAGACAAAATGGTAATGGCGAACCAACCAGACATTGTCGTAGTGGATAAACATCAGAGGAAAGCCGTTGTGGTAGATGTAGCAATACCAAGTGATTGCAACATCAGGAAAAAGGAGCACGAGAAACTAGAGAAATACCAGGCCTCAGGGAGGAACTGGAGAGGGCCTGGAAGGTGAAGACCACAGTGGTGCCTGTGGTCATCGGGGCCCTCGGGGCAGTAACCCCCAAACTGGAGCAGTGGCTACAACAGATCCCAGGAACATCAGACATCTCAGTCCAGAAATGTGCAGTCCTTGGCACAGCCAAGATACTGCGCAGAACCCTCAAGCTCCCAGGCCTCTGGTAGAGGACCCGAGCTCAGAGGATAAGAACCACCCGAGGTGGGTGAGAAGGGAATTTTTTTTATTTTTTGTATATATATATATATATATATATATATATATATATATATATATATATATATATATATATATATATATATATATATATATATATATATATATATATATATATATAGGTTACTCCCGACCTGTATTGGCAAATCACAGAGTAAAGGGTCCTGCACAAGACGAGCCAGTCCCTCTTCGAAGATATCCAGGATCTCTGAATGCGGGAGAGCGTCTTCATCTTCCTCCTCTGTACCAGCAGTTGGTTCCTCATCTCCCTCCTTTTTCACCTCCTCATCCTGAAGAACAATCCCCCTCTCGCCTCCAGGGCTTAGACTCTGCTCCGACTCCATTAAAAGCTACTAAAACTAGACAGCAAACATGCGCAAGCCTAATTTTATCTGAACATAAACGAAAACAATAAATTAAGAAATATTATCCCACAAGAGCAACTTGTCTTCTCTACATGCGGAGCGCGCAAAATATATATCCGGTGGGCTAATGAGGCTCATCACACAAAGTTCCACTCAATAAAAATAAAGTATATAAACAAAATAAAATTTCATTTTGTTTTTTCAACTTCCTAAAAGTTATTGCAGATCATAACATATTATACAGTTTCAGTGTGGTTTGTTTTTTAACAGGACAACGCTTTCTTCGTGTTTCCTATCGACGGGTTTTATCTGTTGCACTTCCGCTATGAAAAGCAACAGACCGGTTGCACCAAGTGGTCTAAAGCGACTTAATTTCTCTTTAAACTTCTTTAGTGTCTTGTCAGCATGCTACTGTTTTGCCCCACATGTGGGAATGTTTTAATCGTCGAAGAAGGACAAAGATGTATGAGATTCGCTTGTAACACTTGTCCATATGTACACAACATCACCAGAAAGGTAACGTAAAACGCTTCAACGCGCATGAACTGGTGTTACCGTTTCTTCTCGTTTTACGATATTCTACGAGTTAAATGCCAACCCCTTTGTACCTTCGCAGGTAAATAACAGAAAGTATCCCAAGCTAAAAGAGGTCGATGATGTCCTTGGTGGCGCTGCAGCGTGGGAGAACGTGGATTCAACTGCAGGTGACTAATGCCGCTCTTCGTCTCAAAAAGAATATATATATTTGAGACATTACATCAGCTGCGTGTTTCATGTGAATGATCTTTACCAAAACAACACTTAGATCCGCATGTTAGATGGTTCTTTGCTGTAACACACCTTATTTACATAATTGCAGTACAGAAAAAGCCTGTTAATCAGCCATCAAGTGAAATCAGATGCATGTTTCAGGCGAAAAACACCTGAACATGCAGAGCAGTGTTGGGGAAACACTGAAACTAGTAGATATGATGGTGTTTACAGTTCTCAGGTGTTTCACACCCATCAAGTTTACAGACCTGCTTCGACTCACATTTGGTCACTGAAGAAATGTTCCTGTGCTGATTTACTTTTACCCCCAGTGAAAATCAAGCATTAAATTCTTACTTTAATGCTCGAATCACAACTTTTGTATGTCAAGTAATGCTTGGGTCTGGTTATGAAGCATTTGGTTAAAGTGTTTCAGACCAGGAAAAACATCTAAAAATTGCTTGAGAATTGACTTTGAACACCACTTGGTCAACAACCGTGGAATGACCTGTATGTGCTGGTGTCTCCACATTGATTAAGTAAATACAGGCTCTACATGTTGTTTATCAGCTCTTTTGTGGTTGTGCTCAGAACTGAAGTTCAAAGTTATGGCTAATATAAACGGTGTCTGCTTGTTGCTGTACATTATTTACAATGGCTGTACTCATTTAACTACTATGACACAAAACTGCAGTATCTTCATCTTGATGATAGTCAGGTAAAATATGACATGACAGTTCAGTCTGAGGTCACTATACAAAATATTGAATCTGATATTTTTTCCCCAATTACAAACTGCATTAAGTAAGCAGCACACAAGAGTCTGTTGCCCTGGTGATCATCCTCCAGCTCTGTTGGTAGTTGGATGAATGAAACGAGAATTGAGCGTTTTTACCTTTCTGCTATTTGTGACACTCAACGACGTGTCTCCTGGATTCTCAGTTGGATATCAAAATGCAGGGCTTAAATTTTAATCTTTTCTATGAATATGAAAGTGGTGCTTTAAAGATAAAGTGTGGAGCGTTTTTGGGGGAATGTTTAAATTTCATTTACATGGAAAACATTTAGATCAAAACATTATACACTTTTCACTTATGTTTATTTTAGGTTATCGGCCATGCTGACTAATGTGTGGAAATTAGGAAAAATGTGATGTTTATGACTTAAAGTCTTATTCTAGGCTAATAATTTGCATTTGTGTTTCTGCACAGAAAAATGTCCGAAGTGTGAGCATCCCCGGGCTTATTTCATGCAGATCCAGACCAGATCAGCAGATGAGCCGATGACAACTTTCTACAAATGCTGCAATGCACAGTGTGGACATAGATGGAGAGATTGATGGTTGTATATTGTAAAAAGTAAAAATTATTTTCAGATTCTGCATTGTCTTTTGAAAAATAACCTTTCCACAAAAATAAATGTAATTTATGCAACAGTCACTTGTCAGACATCATGTATCTTCAAGATATTTCTTCATGACTTTTATTGATAAAATATTACCTGTGTACAACAGTTAAGTAAACTGTCTGACATTGTTGTACATTATCACAGACATCATAGCAATGCAGTTTTCACAATAAGAACATTTTGCTGCAGTCCTTCAGCTCAAAGGTTTTACACTGATTTGTCAGTCAAAACAGAAAAAGTCAGTTGCACATTTAGTCAGGGAGCTAATCACCAGAATTATTTTTTAAAGTAAAAATCAATCAGATTAACTCTTGATAGGCATTAGTGAACAAAGGATTAGCCATGCAGTGATGGTACACTGATCATTTACTAGCAGCAGACAATTCAGTGGAAGTTGATTTGCAATATTTTTAACCTTAATTGAAGCTTAAAAGTATGTCATCTAACATGCATCTGAGCAAAGCATCTAGTCTTAAAGAACATGGGCCATTGTTGAATTTGCTCAACTATATTCTTAAAATGTCCTATTTTAGATTAGTTTGAATCTACAATCTGTGGAAGTGCATCCTGCCAAAGTGAAGTCATTTGTTAAGATGTCATGCAGTTTTTCTAATATCAGTGACAAAAACATATCTGCCATCTTCAACATGATTTCAATTAGTGCACATACAGTCAGATTCATACAATTAAAAGCCCAATGATGTTTTTCTTTACATTTTCACAACAAAGGGGTTAGCAATGTATTTTAAAATAAAGTGCAAATGTTAAGTTTATTCAAACACAAAATGGGCAGAGAGCTAGTAACAGAAAAGCAGCAAGTCACTGAACATTGAGTGACTGAACAAAAATAAATACAGCATGTAATATAAATATCAGTTTAAATTTGAAATTGGGTCTCATTAAACCAGTGGAAACAAAAAATATATATACATGAGGAAAATATGATACACAGACAAAATTGGGTTAGTTTACATAAATGTTGGGAATTGTTATTTTAAGATGACCAAACAAAAAAAAAAACTAACCACAGTATGAGTAACATTAACATAAGAATTCAAATATTATAAGCAATTTCACAGTTTTTCTAAATGAGGCTAACTTGATTTATTTTTTCTTCTCCTTCACATGCATAAGATAAATGTCTGTAGGCTGTCTGCAACTGCAGCTTTTTAGTTCCTGGTTCTTTTAATGTCCTTCATCGGTTCAGAGGTTTTATACATTTTAAATCCTTGTTTAAACATTTTAGAAGAATGTGGAAGATATGTACAGCAATTATCCTGTGGGTTTATGAGACAAATGTATTTACCATAAGAAGGGGACAACACTATGCAAAAATGGGGTAAAGGGTGGAGGCTGCTGTCACTACCAGCAGAGGGAGCTGAGAGTTTTACGTGTGTGCACATACATGGCTCTGTGACGAAACACCGTCGGTGGTTAGCAGATGCGCTTGTATGTGTATATGTAGCCCTTACAGTTAGGACAGGTGTGTGTCACATCCTTGAGGTCATCAATCAGACAGGGAATCAAGCAGCAGCCGAGGTCACACCTGGGAGCAAAGAAGAAGAAAAAAATGCAACAAAATCAAACAACTGCAGACGAGCTTAATCAGGATCCCCATTCATGACTGAAATGAAGAGGATATTTCAGTTCAGTAAAAAAATTAAGAATCCACATTTTTAGAGATTCCAAGAAAAGAGTAGGAAGAGAGCTTCTGATGTAATTGTAAGGAGCCAAATGGAAGATTGCAGAAATATGCTCCACATCTGCACAACAGATGAAAAGTTTGCAAACTAAATATTTTGTTTGAAAGCCGCCACTTTCATTTTTTCCCCCTCTGTAAATATGATCACATTTCTCATATGAGTTTGAGCAATTGTAGAGGGTCGAATCTGTTAATATGTCTAAAGTGCCTCTTCTGCTGACCAAAAGTTACTACCGTATTTTCCAGACTATAAGTCGCAGTTTTTTTTCATAGTTTGGCCGGGGGTGCGACTTATATTCCGGAGCGACTTATGTGTGGAAATTACCAAATCATTATATCATATCACATGTTATTTTCACACTAAAAATAACGTGTTATTCTACTTGTGTTATTCTACTTTCGGAGTTGGCAGAGTTGTTTACAAGCGACACTGAGGATGAAGATTTTATTGCGTTTAGTGATTTGAAGTGACACGGAAGGCTTGGTAAACTTGTTCGCATGTTATTTATGTTATAGTTATCTGAATAACCCTTAATGTGTTATGTTAACATACCAGGCACGTTCTCAGTTCGTTGTTCATGCATCATGTAATGTTAGCATACCGTACAATTATTCAGCCTGTTGTTGCCTCTATTCTATTTTTATTGCCTTTCAAGATGACATGTCTGTTCTTGGTGTTGGATTTTATCAAATAAATTTCCCTCAAAAATGTGACTTATACTCCGGTGCGACTTATATATGTATTTTTCTTCTTTATTATGCATTTTATGGCTGCTGCGACTTATATTCCGGAGCGACTTATAGTCCGGAAAATACGGTACTCAAGATTAAACTTTACTTTTAAATTATGGCTGAGACGGGTTATCAATATAATAACTCTTTCATACAATGCTTAACACTTTGAACTTACCCTACAAAGAAGCAGAAGAGGCAGAAGAGTGTGTTCATGAGCCCGACATCGTGAGAGATGCGGGTGATGATGGCCTGTTGACAGTGCGGACACACGGTCTGCACTGGCGACGTCTGGAACATTTCGCCCTGCAGTACCGTCACAGTGGTGGCTGCACCCGGTGGAGCCAGGACGGTCGCTGTGTGACTTCCCATGTGGACAAAGTGACTGGGACCCGGACCCATTTGTCCCGGAACTGGCTGACCGAAGTGACCTGGTGGCGGTGGGTATGGCCCACCTGCAGAAAAAGAATCGATTAAAGCGTTAAAAAAAAAAAAAAAAACGGTTTGGAA